GCAGTCAAACAGGAAGAAGTGGTCTTCAGTTATGCTAAACACTTTATTGGTCTGAAATTCTGTCAGCAAGACAACATGGAGGTTCCACTTTTCTGTGTTCGACTGTGTAAGTACTGAGTTTGTTATACGTTCCAGTTTTCCTTTAGCTGAGGGAAAAGTCAGTGTCATGAAAACCTGAGTTATGTTTACAGAAGGAAACATCAGTGATATTGAAAACATTTAAATTACAATACAAAAATTAAAATAACTCAGCGGATTCGCCAAACTGTTCTTCCAAAGTATATAACTACTTATGTCTACTAAATTTTACAGGCGTGCTAAAGCTGATTTTATCTCAAATACCTTCAATTTTCCTAAAACTATTAAAATATCCACAAGAAAATGGTCAGCAATGTAGAGTAGTATGATTTTACCTGACTTTACAAACTTGACAAAAAGCATTTGATATAATTTTGTTTTCTTCTTATTCATTTTATTTGGACTTCAGGGGGTGCAGCTGCTTTTTCATGCATGTTATCTAGAAGCTGTAATTATTTCTGGTGCTGACAGCACTTTGATGAATCATCATGTTGGTATTAAACGTAAAGTTTCACCAGAAGAGTTTCAGTATTCCTTCGCATTAATTCTACAAGTATCAGAATCTCCAACTGTGAGCTAAACTCTAATTTTTCTAGAAAAAAAAAGGCATTTAGATGATTTTGGTGAAGACTCCTGTCTATTGCAGCATTGAGACTAAATGCAAAGCAATGTATGATAGCACATAAAGTCTGATATGAAGGGATGCAAATTTGTGTGGTGAGCACATTGTCAGAAATGCTAGTCAAGACCTTTGCAGAGTTTCCACACCTCACACTGTCTCTATATTCATATTACTATACTTGTTCAATCTTTTTTAATGTTAGCGTTTCAGCCTGAGAAACTATCTGCACTATAACCACGATACTGCCAGAGCTGTGTGAAAAGAGGCTCTGAAATTGCTTTAGTAACAACTATTCAATGACTACCAGGGTCATGACTTTTTAAATCCTGTAGAGCCTAAAATTTAAATATGTCTTAATATAGATCAAAGTACAAGTGTAAAGAAAGACAAGAATAAAGATTCAGTAAGGTAATACTAGTAGTTATCCATCCTACTCCACTTATCCAACTCAGGCTCATAGGGGTGCTGGAGCCTGTCCCAGCTGTCTTAGGACAAAAAACAAAGTACACCCTGGACAAGTCGCCAGTCTGTCGCAGAGCTAACAAAGAGAGACAGACAACCATTCGCATTCATGCCTATGTGCAATTTAGAATCACCAGTTAACCTAGCCCCACTAACTACATGTGTTTGTACTGTGGAATGAAGCCGGAGTACCTGGAGAGAATCCACACAAACACAGACAACAAGAAAACTCCACACAGAAAGGCCCTGGCCTGATGATGGAACTGAACTCAGGCAACAGTGCTAACCACTGCATCACTGTGCTGCAATACTAATTATCTATTCATTATTTTCATTTATTAATATTAGTTTAACAAATCCATCCATCCATGTGTATCCGGGTCAAGGACATCAGTCTAAGCGAGCAACACCTCCTTTTCCTAAACCATTTCCTCTAGTTCCAAAACCAGCTATGGAACATGATTGCTACAGTATGACTGAAACGTCTCATCTATCTACCTCATCTAGATGCACTGATATGATCAGCTTAATAAATATATTTATACTTTAAATTTTATATGAGTGGTTCTGAAAGTGTGGGCGGTGCCTGCAGGTGGGCAAAAGAATCTATTGTTACTTATTTAACATAAGCCATAGCATAAGATTTTTTTTTCCCTTTTTCTGATTCCTAGCAAAGAATATATTCAAAATGCCCTCCAAAGTGTAACAAAGCCACAACATCATCTTACTGAAGGGATCAAATTGAGTTTTCCTTATCACTTATTTTTAATGCATTTTTTTTTTTCGTTTTTTCTTCAGTGATAAATATGTGGCTGCTGCTGGTGACACAAGTATGGGATGTTTGTGATGCTCAAAGAGTTTGTAAGTGAAAATAAATGTAATTATTTTGCATGAATAACATTAGCCGGGATTGTGGGTTTTGGTTTGACAATTTTCACTTGGTGCATATTTAATGGTCCTGTCTCCCTCGTTGTTGTTCAATGCAGCTTTTCCTCATGTTGTTCCAAACACTTCTCAGCACTATGAATACAGCACATTGTCTTTTAACTGTAAGGAGTTTGACGTGTCTCCTGGATGGAGACTAATGAGGAAGGTGCCAACCGAAAGTACAGCATGTGGGACTAGTTGGGGAGTTTTCAGTGGGTACATTTGCATCTTCAAACATGTTTTTATGGGAGACAGTGGGCAGTACTGGTGTGAGAGCAGAGATGGAAAGAAAAGCAACGCTGTCAACATCACCATTACACGTAAGTTTACTATACCCGTGTTCACTAACATGCATATTTAAAGGATAGAATAGAATAGTCCTTTGTCATTGTAAATGTACAACGAAATTCTGAGTGCTCCACACCAACTATGTTGGAATAAAATATTAATAAAATATATTACTGAATAAATTACTGAATTGGATTGCAAAAAGTATATTCTTATTAGTACACCACTAAACAGAAGGCTTGTTGAGAAATCTGCTAAATGTTCTGATTATTATGTGATATCTGTTAAATGCTCGTAAGTGACATAATTAAATGCTGGTAATAGTATTTTTCCTCTGCCCACAAAAGTGCTCAAAACCTATAAATTACATGACAAAGGATTATGTCTTTCAAACACACGATTTCCCAGGGTGCTGTAGTAATTATACCATATGTTATAATTATACTAGCTGGTCCTGTGATCCTGGAAAGTCCTTTACTTCCTGTGATGGAGGGAAACACTGTGAGTCTGCGCTGTAAAAACAAGACAGCTTCTACCAATGCGTCTACTTCCATATCCTTCTATAAAAATGGCCTCTTTATCAAAAACATCTCCACCAGCACTTTGATCATCCACAATATTAACAAGTCTCATGAAGGACTCTACAAGTGCAAAATCTCAGGAGTTGGAGAATCGCCTGAGAGCTGGCTGGCAGTCAGAAGCAGAGACGACACCGGTGAGAGCACTTTTTTTTGGATGTATTTTTTAGAGGCATTTTAGATGTGAGACTTAAACTGTATATAAAATAAGTACTTACTGCCCTCATTGAATGTCAATATCAAGATAGATAAACAGTTCTTCAAAATGAGATTTTGTCTCTCTAAAACTGCAAAACATGAGAAATGGCATAAATTGTGGTCTTTTATATTACACAACATAGTTTAAAACCTTATCTCAAAGTCAGGTTAACATAACTTTCAGAAAATAGTAGAAAAAGTTGGCTTTTTTTCCAGTCACTAAATGCTAACACATTATGGAAATTCC